TCTATACAGATTTAGTATTTCTTTAAAAAAATGTCTGATACTACCATGACCCAATCCGAGCTTTCAGAGAATTTGGACGGCCCCACCCCATACTATTGTGGGTTAAGAGCTTCTGATATAGGTGCATGCTTATATAAAATTTGTGATGATAGTATTAGACTAAGGAATTTTCTAGGCACAGACAATGAGGATGGTATCGAAGCCATACTCTCAGATCATGAAGGCCATTCATTGCACGAATTTATTGATGGCGATGAGCCACTTCGTCCTATCATAGATTTTGATTTGCCAATAGAAACACTAAATGCTATCACTCCTAAAGTTTTGCGTAAAGAAGCCTGTAAAGCTATTCAAATAGCCTTTAGAGATGTTTGTCTAGAAATATATCTGGAGTGGAATAAAAAAAATATAACTGTCGCTACTAGTAGTAATGCAAAAAAAATATCCCTTTACGTCTCTACTACTGGTATAAGGCTTAAGAACATTGCTCAGATCGCAGTATTCACTGAACTTGTTCGCAAAAAACTCCAGATAGGATTACAGAAGAAAAGTATTATTGATAACATTGCAAATAAAAGGTCTTTCTCCTTGCAGATGCTTGGATCACCCAAGTATAAGGAAGAAACGAAAGAACATGTTCGTATAAAAAAAGCTATCTATCCCAAAGATGGAACGATCTTTGACTTCATGATTCGCCCACCAAATGATGAATCAGAAGTCATAGAAAGCCCTCTTTTAGATGTTTCAGAAAATATAAGCAGAAGAAAATGCTTTACCACAAATAATATTACTACTGAAGCTGAATTCGAGTTGGCAGAGATATTGCTTAAAGAGGCCAATATTGAAGGCTATAATCTCTCATTTCCGTCAGAAAATTTCCCTGATAAATTTCCATTATCACGTATTTCTCCATCATATTGTCCATTATGTGATCAGGAACATACAAGTGATAATGTATATATTATACGAAATAAAAAATCTTATAGCTTTTTCTGTTATCGTGCAAACCAAGAAAACAGCCTAGCACGAAAAACCCTTCGTTAAAGCTTATCATTAGCGAAACAGCTTTAGATAGAGAAAAAAAGCTTCCAAGTCCTGCAAAACTAAGCCGATCTGGAATTTCAGATCCTAGTAATCACTTTGTATGGGGTGACTTACTGCGTATGTATACCTCAGATAAAAAATTCTCTCGTATGGTTGTCTATGAGGCAATTCAAGCAACGATCACCTGCATTCAGAAGAAAACGAAAACATGGATTCTTAAACATAGGAATCTGAATGGTGGACTTATATTTGACATGGGGCCTAAACTAGATATTGCAAATTTTACAATTAATATAATAGAACTAGGGGGTGAGGCGGTAAAATTAACATCTTTGATCAATTATGCCCTTATAAGTGGCGTAATACATTATAATGATGTCAATTTTCTTCCATACTCTCTAAACGTTAATTCACCAAAAACTGAATTCTTTAATCTTTTCTTAGGATTCAAGGCCAAACCGGCATCTCAAATTAATTATGATCTCGTAAAACCCATCGTCTGGCATATAGAAAATATCTGGTGTAATGAAGATAAAAATCTTTCCGAATATGTTCTAAAATGGCTTGCATTCCTAGTTCAGTATTCAAGTATAATTCCTGGAACGATTCTTGTTTTACGCTCCCTACCACGATGTAGGAAGGATATTATCACCGATTTTATTCGAAAAAGTTTATTCGGGCCAGACCTTATATTCTCAACTTCTGATCTAGAAAAGATTCTTGGACGGTTTAATAGCCCTATCCAAGCGTGGAAACTTATTATTATGAATGAAACAGGAATGGCTAATAGTGAATAGCATAAAACAAATGATTATTTAAAAGCCCTTATTACAGAAAACTATATCTCAATTGAGCGCAAAGGCCTTGAATCCCAAGATTGTAATCATTTTGCTAGATTTATGATTTTAAGTAATCATGATACCCCAATTCGAGTAGAAATAGGAGATGGGCATATCGTATGTTTAGATGTCTCTCCCCACTATAAAAATAATTTTGCATATTTTGACCAATTGAGAGAGATTCTCGAGCATTCTGATATACCTAGATCTTTTATATCATATTTGCTTAGTCTTAATCTTTCTGGATAGAAGCCACGTAAGATTTCTTCAACCAAAATAAAAATAGAAACTATGTGAGACCAACTACCTAATCCCATTCGATTCATAATTGATTATATTGCACCATGGCCTGAAGATAAAGTAGCTAAGCTAAGTAGCAATATATTATATCAGGAATATTTTGATTGGTGTAGAGGCAATAGGGAAAAACTATTTTCTAACAACATTCTTGATAAGAAATTCTCAGAGATTAATATCGAATGCAAGAGGGCAAGTGGTGGGAAAAGAGAATGACAATACATTCTCAATCACTTCAAAATCATAACTAAGCTTTGTGAATCTGGCCTAGATGATATTGAAGAATTTTCTGATACACCTTAACCTGACTTACCTGAAAATGAGACAACAGACATACCCATATTCAATGTACCAGAATTTATTCCTCCAAAAATAATCCCGCCTCAGGCAGAAAAAAATCTCTCTCCTAGTGATAAGAAAGCAGATAAACAGAAAAATCCAACCCAAGCTCTATTCGACTATGTGGTAGAAGAAGCTGAAGCACTAGTTGCTTCAACATCTTGGACTTATAAAACTTCTAAGACGTTTAACCTACCTGAGCCAAAAATCATTGAGCGGTCTCAAAAGGACCAGCTCGAAACTAGCAAGCTTCCCAAACCTATTGAGCTTATAAGTGAAGTAGCGCCTGATACGCTTTCTAAAGAAACTGATTCTTCCAAGTCTATCAATGAAGTACCATCTGCCATACTTCTGAGCAGGGCCCAGCACGAAGAGCGCCTCAGAAAAAGGGCAATCGAACTTGGTGAGGATCCCGATATATTTGTAACTATTACAGAAAAGAACAGGCTCGACTCTATTGCATTCCAGGATAGAATAGAAACTGATGCTCGGATGTGCAGTTATGCAAAAGAGGATAAAGAAGACCCTAAAGAATATATGGACATGTCAGTGCAGGAAAGATTGATAGGAGAAAAAATAATCTGTTGTGACCTTAAAGATAAGAGACCATATCCTCCTGGCTTGATACTGATGAGAAGTGGCAAAAAAATATAAGCATACTCCAGGAAAACAGTATGCTTTGGTAAAAAGTGAATTATTATTATTTTTTTCGAATTAAAAAATAACTAAATTAATATAACTAGATAATACTCACTACTGACATGGCTACTAAAACAGCTTCCCCAAAGACCTGAAAACCTAAAGTTAATAACTTTGTATTGGTCTTAGAGCAGTTTCTAGAAAAGCATAATCTGATGGTCAACTCTACCCCAGAACAATTAAACGAACATGCTTCCAAACTCGATGTATTACTTCCTGATTAGATGGCTCGCAGGTGTGTTAAAGTTGCTCTTGCCAGAGATACTAATAACAGACGCTCATTTAGTGAAGAGCAGATAGAGGCTCTCTTACCAGATAAGAGAAAAGGAAAACTCACCATAGAGGAAAGGGCAAATATTGTGCTAAAATCAACGATGCTATGGACATTTTTGCCCATCATTTAGATTTAGGCCCAAAAAATGATTATGAAAATGAAATAGTCACCAGTGGTTCACGCCAATCGCAATTTCGTGTGAAATTAGCAGAAGGCAGGGTAAGTTCTGAAATTATTAATACCTATGCCAAAGATTCAAAACTTATTCAAGAGTCTAATAAAATTCAGAAAAAACAAACTAAAAAATAAATGTCTAATCCAGATAGAATTCTAATACACTTCTCGTCAGCAAGAGTGCTTAAAAGTATTCAGAATATGGATATTTCTAAAATTCTATCTAAAGAAGATCTCACGGATGTAATTGTGATGTTGAGTATGAGACCTGCAGAAGTAAGATCTCATCAAATTATTCACTATAAACCAGATCCTTTAAATGCTCCAGTATGATATAAAGAAGGTTATTCTTGGTACTGTACGGGCTATTTAAAAAGTAGAGGAGAAAAGAAAAAGAATCCCGAGCCCCGACCATTTCTTTCTATGGAGAAGAACCTGGAATGCGCAAGGGAATTGCTTACTTGGATTCAAGATGCAATTAAGGTTAAAAAGTTATCTGACCCTGTCTTTACTGGAAATGGAACACGTAATACTTGGCCATTTAATGAGTTCTTAAAACAAGAACCTTATAGAACCATACCTAAAAAATTAAGAGATTATGGAAATAAATACGCTTCCAGAATCCATGGTGGTAAGAAACCAATACCCCAACATCTTAAACTGCTTTCGAGAATCGCAATGAGGCAAGAATTAGCCCACCTTG